TACTGCGACAAAAACGTGTTTTCGTACTGGAATAGTAGACACTTCCAACTATCCAACGCTGCATTCGTTTCCCACCCTACCCCTCTAGGACGTCTTCTGCGCGCGCAATCTTGTTATTTAATAACCAGACCTCGTATATACATATATATTTAATAGAATAAATACGTGCATATAAAATAGAATGTGTTTTAGACAATAGAATGTGCATCTTGACAATTAATTCTTTTGAATTTAACTCTTTCGCTCCTAACGCCGGCTATGTCTGGCATCCACGAAGCGATCCGTATAGATGAACACTGGCTATAGCCAGAATTCGCGAAGGAATTAATTTATAATGTCCCTTATATAATAAGAGTTATACCAAATTATCTTGTACAGTAATATACAGCCAATCGTAACTAATTTTGTCAAATAATATATTTAAACATAATTAGTAGTGGTAGTATATTGATGTTTATAATGCCACTGATATGAAGGGGGTAATTAAAAAACGGTTTACAAAGAAATTATAATCATTTTGTTTTGGGAATAATTCTTTTTTTTTTTAAACGTGTCAAGGTAGCGTTGTTCAAACGAAAAACGTATTTTTAAACGTCAAAGAATGTCCACATATAATACATATATACACTTTTGGTGTGAAGTCCCGATCAATGGTAATATTCTGATGAACCGATTTCTGAGCGAAAGAGTTAACAAAACTATTTTCATTAAGTATAATGATAGCATACTTTCTTTCAGACATATTCCACAGCTTTGTCCGTTACAATAACTCTTGCGCAGGTATGTAATAAACTTCTACTCTCGCAATAATGCATGAGAAATTTTGTTTGATTATGATTTAGTATGAACAAGCACTCGCGAGTATATAATTAAATCCATTTTATTTAAACCGAAATCTTGTCATAACAATCAGAAAGAATTTCCGGTTTTTATGACAAAATTCAAGATTTTACAATTAGAAGTAGAACTATATTACAAGTATTATATTATTTATTACAAGAATTTGTTTAATATTTTTCAGTTTGGTTGGGAAGTTGCTTTCAATGAGTTAAATAATGATGATAACAGTTAGTTATTTTAATCTCAGCGCTCTAGTAGTGCAATTATTGTGTCAATCGACACAAATCTGGCTAATATACTGTATTGTTTTATGTCGTTGTGTTGTTTCCTGTAGTGAATTGGAACAAAATGATATGTATCATGACTGACGAAAAAATGTTTTCTCTTTCCGTCATCAATATAATTTTGAGAAAAATGCGTAGAAATTTGAAAGTTATAACAACAACATTAATTTGAATTTTTTTGTGTTATCTACATATTGCTTTGTAAGTACTTTATAGATTATGGGTGCATGATGTGCCCAAATCATCCGTCATTTATCTTTGCTTACATTCGAACAACATCGGAGAAATAATACATTATGCATAAAACGAAATGCTCTAATAACTAACAAAAAGACGTGTTTGATTAATTAGATATTCTATGGTTTGTTAACAAGAAAAATTTATCCAATTAATTTTGATGTATTTAACAAGATACAATTATAAATACCATTCAAAATACAATAAAAAATTACATTATTTCGTAGTAGCATAATCAAAAAATTAAAAATGCGAGATTATACGAAAGCGTTGGAAATATATATATATAATAACACAAATTGTATTAAACCAATCATTATTGTAATATTGATAAACGGAATGAAATATTAACAATAAATAAACTGTATTTACTTTTAATTGTTAACTTGCAATTCTAAAATTTATTAAAATTTATATGATAAAATTTGACAAATTTACTTTGTGATACGCTGATTAGCATCCAATACAAAGAAGAGTAATCTTTATGATGGAAAGTGAATTTAATGTATACTGATTCCACGTAAAATTTAAAAGCTTTATCCGTAAAGAAAAGATATATTAACCGTCAAATTTCAATAGTGTTTACAGGAGGGTGTGAATTCAAAATTTTCTAGACCGCTTATTATAATAGTGATTATTTGGATGTTAATTACAGTTATAATTTTTATCGCGTCTTTAATATAATATTAAAATTCGCGTATAAGAAAATATATTATAACACATTGCTAAAAATCATATTTTATGAAAAATAAATGGATAGAATAATTTTCTTGTGGAATATAGGGATTACGAAGGAATACTTATATTTAATAATAATAAAATACATGCGTTATTGTAATTTTTCATATGTATAGGTACAAAAGTGTCTCGGATACCGACCGCTCGAGATGATCCCAACCCGAGAAGAGTGATATTTCAAAGAATTATTTTTATACTTAACAATTTATTATATGTTTAAATTAAACAATTTCTTATTTTTCAGTTTCTTTCAGAAATTTTAATCATTAATTCCGCTATGTATATATATCTATTTGACTTATCTCGAATCTCTGTATCCACATATTTTTAATTCATGTATTTGCGATAACATTGTTAAAAGAATATAAAGCATTTTGCTGTTATATTCGCTGAGAATGACTCCAAAGCGAAGATTTAGGAGATGTAGATGATAATCTGATGTTAATAACTATCTTCATTTATTTTGTCGAACGTTTCGTAACATCTGATCTGCATCTCCTAAATATTCGCTCTTACATCTGCGTTTGACTCTCATTATCCCTTTTCTGAACTTTACTGTATTAAGAACAAAAATAAAAAATTTATCATGTTTTATGTTTACACTAATAAATTATATTATTAATAAGAATAATTGTAGCAAAGGTCAGGACTCGTTGGCACAGTTTGTACAACTTCGGTATTAGATTTTTTAAACAAAATGAATTATTATGATTAAAATATATCAATACGAGAGAATCTTTATTTACATTTTTATACGATTAATGATTCTATACACTGTGTAGTTTCTTTCCAATAAATGAAATGTGGACATGTTGCATTATAGTTAATTGCTTCGATATGTGGAGTAAATTGGTGCATATCACAATGTGAATTGCCTCTATAATAAACCTTATATTAAATTAACAAAAACGTAATAGAAATAAAAATAAGATAGTAGATATGTACTTCTTAGTAAAAATTCTATCTTTAAAAGTTATTTTGTAATAATTAAATAGCAAAATGTTATTACAGAAAAATAAGTGTAAATTATTTTAATTTTACCTTCTTTTGATATGGACATATTAAATATAAAGTGTTTTGTCAGAGTTAAATTGTAACTGAATGTTCACACGTGCTGTACAGCAAGTTACACCTTTTCTTATTATATGAGAAAAAAGAAAAAAATTGATCTGAATTAATCTGAAATTTCTCTCTCTCTCTCTCTCTCTCTTTTGCTCACTCTTTTTAGATTTATTTTAGATTTATAAATTTATTTGGAGGAAGTGGAGAGAGTTAAATTTCAACTTTTCCTCTTTAGTGTAGCGTAGTAATGGTACCGATCTTGCAAAGTTGGATCATCAAATACTTCATTAATGATCCTAACGCGAAACATAAAATCTCAACGAATGAGGTGATGATCTACATCGCCTTCCTGATCATTACCAATGTCATCGCCATTATGTTGTTACATCATTCTGTCATGCAATCGTTACATGTTGGCATGAGGATACGTATCGCCTGCAGTTCTCTTCTCTATCGGAAGGTAATAATGCGAATTAACTAGTGAGCAGAGTTGGGAACCTTTTTACCTTAAAAAAATAACGCGTTACCGTTACAGTAGTTACTTTTTGTTAAAAAAAGTAACTTGTTACCGTCATTAGTTATCATGGTATTCATTTTAAAAAGTTACATATTACCATTACTTGAAAAAGTAACGAACCGTTACTTCTTGAGAAATTGTTGAATTAAGCTCCGTCACATATAATATTGATAAAATTAATTTTATTCGACGCGTTTTTGCACAACAACCGAACCTATCAAAAACAATCGTCGGGAGCTAAACTCAACAATTATGGAATTTAAATTAAATATGGCTTTTAAGCATTAATGTCATTATTAGAAATGTATTTTAAGATTCACTTCCAGTATAGAAAAGTAGTATATATGTAATGTGAATTACAGATTTTTAATACTGATCATAATTATTGGAATACAGTTTAAAATATAAAATATAAAATATTTTTTAAAAAATAGAAATGTGAAAGCGAACATTTTGTAATTGTATTTATTGCAAATAATAACTTTTTATTACAGATAATACAATGTTAATTGAATTATCTACAATTGTAAATATAATAAGAATTTGTTTATTATTTTTCAGTTTGGTTGGAATTTAAATCTCGGCATACTTTAGCAGTTCAGTTATGGTGTCAGTTGCCACAAGTCGGACGAATATACTATTGTTTTATCGTGTCGCCGTGTTGCTTCATGTAGTAAACTGAAACAAAATGATATATACTATGAATGACAAGAAAACGTCTCTTTCCACCATCAATATAATTTTGAGAAAAATTCAAAATTATAGCAATAGGATTAATTTGAATTTCCACGTGTTACCTACATATTATTTCATAAGTACCTCATAGATTACG